TTATACAAAACAGTTTTAAATATCTAAAGCAAAAAATGTATTCTTTATGTCTTCAGACCCAAATTTTATAAATTTGGTTCTTCATATAAAAAAAACGTGACTTAAAATTTTTCCAAAAAAATGATTTTTATTAATTCAAAAATGTGTGACCTGAAGATTAGAATGCTCATACAAAGTTTTACTGTATTTGGATTTTTCCTCGAAGGGAAAAAAAGTGAAAAACGAGATTTTGACTAGACCTGTCCCAAGTTCATAATTAAAATGTATTTCTACTTGGTTCTTTGCTCAAAAAAATTTTAGGATGTTTTTTTTGTTTTTGTTTTAAACACTAGAATATTTATGCAAAGCTTCAATCTATTTGGAAAAACCTTTGAAGAAAAAAGTGACAAAATTGATTTTTACTAGGGTCGCCCCTTGTCCAAAATTAAAAATGTATTTCCTACTTGGTTCTTTGCTCAAAAAATTTTTTTGGATGTTTTATTTGAATTGACATAATTCTGACATAAATCACATACCAATATTACTTTTTGTAATGCATAGCTTAAAAAAAATCGAAATCTAAAATTTCGACTACCCCATCTGAATTTTGTTCATACTCTTCACTATGGAAACCAAAAAACAAATTCTTTTTTTTAAAACACTTGACAAAATAGCGACATAATTCAGGATTAATTACTTTTTAATAATATTTTAACATTTACGAGAAAATGTGGTTCAAATAAGTGTGAAGTATGGCCGAGATTTGGACCAAAATCAGCTATACTGGTTCATAGTGTTCCCGAGGGTGACAAAATTCAAACTAAGTGTTTTTGTAGCTGACATAATTATGACATAAATTAGGTTTAACTTTTGAACTGTGTCGATATGGGTCTCGGCCGTACTTCACGCCCACCCTTCAAACTTATGCTGAGCAAATCTTGGTCTATCCATAAGACTTTTGATGGTACGGTGTGAATATATCCGCATTGGGTTTCTACCCGATACACTAGTTTATTGACATTTTTAATTTTTTAATTGTTTTATAATCCATAGATATTTGTCATAAAGAAACTTAGTTTAAACAATTTTGAAACAAACCAGACCTATAATTGAAAACTTTTCAATAAAATGATTTTTATATTAGTGGATCGTGATCAATGATTTGTGAATAAGGCTATTAAAATGATTTGCAAAAAAAGATTTGAAACAGGAAGTATATTTTTGTTTTTAGCAGTATTCACTGTGATGATGAAATTAAAGATTAAGTATTAAACAATTGTCAATCTTAAATTTTAATTTAAAAAAAAAACACTTTCGTACCTTGCGTACATGAGATTAAAAAGCATTGATTATTTTTTTAATGTCTATATTTTATCCCTACATAAAAAAAAGTGATACTGTGTGCATTCTTAGAAAATCAGCCTATAACGATTGTTTAAAAACAGAATCTTTGGGGCTAGACAATTGCACCGAAAAATGAAAAATCACGGAGAGACAATAAGGCCACTTATAAAATTTTAATTTTTCAAGTGGTCTTAATATTTTCACTGCAAGACAATAAGTCCAATTAGACAAAATTAAAATTTAAGGTGAAATAATTATTTTCACGTGCGGGTAAATAAATCACTTTCATTTGTATGTGGGATTTTTGTCTTTACTTGAAGTTAATAAATCCGCAACATTTTTAGGATTCGTCTTTAATATCTCACTATGAGGCAATAAGATCACTTGAAATCGTAAATGGATTTATTACCTCACAGTGAGATATTTAATCCACCTATATTTCTTAGTGGACTTATTGTCCTTTTGTGCAAAACATTACAACAAAAAATTGATCAGGTAAAAAAAGTTGTAACATATTTAATTGCTTTTCATAAAATTGTCAAATTTAAACAATATTTTTCATGTGGGTTAATTCACTATCTACTAGAATTCCATAGAATAGTTTTCCAAAGACATAATTTTCCAATATTTTTTAAATTCTTAAAGTACTAAATATTTTAAGATCGATTTTCATTATTTTAGATAAAATGAATTTTAAAAATAAACTAGTGTATCGGGTAGAAACCCAATGCGGCCATATTCACACCGTACCATCAAAAGTCTTATGGATAGACCAAGATTAGCTCATCATAAGTTTAAAGATATAAAGCTAGTGAGTTAAAAAAATTTTTCATCCAAAGTTTAATTATATAAAAATCACAGTGAACTTTTGTTTTAAAAAATTTGTAAGAAATGAAAGTTTTTTGCTTTTTCTGAAGCAACGGCTGTTCCTACCTTGACCAAAAACAATACAACTCTTCTATAGAGCAGCACGGATCAAATGTAAAAAACTAGAAGTCTCTACGATGTCTCGTTATTGAGATTTCTTGCTGATTAACTTGCATGTTTGTTTGCTTGTTTGCTTGCTTACAGAAAGCGTATTTTGCGATTTTCTCAGCAATGCCGCAACCAATTTGAAATCTGTTTTTTGCAAATGATGTAAAATTTCATGCACAAACTTTTCTTCTCGGACATTTTATAACCAATTTTGATTCGTTTTCTCACAAAACGCGAAAACTGATTTTACAATCTGAACAAAACCAATAGATTCACACGTGAAAACGGTGTGAATATAAAATAAAACCGTTCAACTCGTAAAACAAAAATAAAATTTTAAAATGAAAATCCAGAGAGTGGCAATGTCAAAATCCAATTCTTTGACATTAGATTGTTATACAATATAAACATGTTCGGAGATATTATAATAGATAATTTTGATGAAAAAAATATTTTCACTAATTTCATGGATTTATCGCTTTAAAAGCAACGTTTAAGATTCTAACAGCATAAGCATTTTAATTAAAATCACATGGAAATTTAAAGAATCTCAAATTTTGAATGTAGACAAACTCCAAAATTGTAATGATCATTGATTATTGATTTTTTGCTATCTTTTGAGCTTATCAGAAACCTTTTTACAAGCTTTTTATTCTCTTATTTTTCAGAAAATGACAATAGTATTTTGAAAAATAAAGGAATTTAAGTAAAATCAACAATTTTTCAACTGGCTATTTTGAAATTGCCTCTATGAAAATCTTTTGAAATCTGAATGAAAATTTTGATATTTTTATAAAATTTCGAATTCTTTAATAAAAGATTTTGTTTGATCGTAGATTTTGAGTTTCCTCACTTTGATTTTAACTGACAATCTTAAAAAGTCTCAATTTTAATTTAAAACCCATACTTTGATTTGAATTGTTTGAATAAACAAAGAAATTACCATTTTGTATTACACAGCTTTAGACCAAGGCGTGGACACTCAAAAATATGCTGGGATTATTCGGGATTATTGGGATTATTGGGATTATTTGGGATTATTTGGGATTATTGGGATTAATCCCAGTGTCCACGCCTTGCTTTAGACAGAAAAAAAACATATTTTTCAATACTGGGGTCCTTGATTTGAGTAGGTGTTTTGTTCCAGAAAAATACTATTCAAAACTACTCGAATCTAGGGCCCATAGTACAAGACAACGAATTTTTTTTTCCGTTATTTATAATAGATTTTAATTCAAAATGTAAACAAATTATTTTTCCGACTTCAAAGAATAAAAGGGCCAAATATCATAAAATGAGGGACCGTTGTCCTACGTTGGCATATTTTTATCTAGTTAATAAGATTAAGTTTTGAATACAATATTGTAAAATTGTTGAAAATTACACAATTCAGTTCAAAAATTGTGAAATCTTAAATACCTTTTTGTATGAAGAACTTGTTTAAATTGATACTTATATTTTTAGAAAAAAATTCTAGTAGATAGTAAATTAACCCACATGAAAAATATAGTTTAAATTTGACAATTTTATGAAAAGCAATTAAATATGTTACAACTTTTTTTACCTGATCAATTTTTTGTTGTAATGTTTTGCACAAAAGGACAATAAGTCCACTAAGAAATATAGGTGGATTAAATATCTCACTGTGAGGTAATAAATCCATTTACGATTTCAAGTGATCTTATTGCCTCATAGTGAGATATTAAAGACGAATCCTAAAAATGTTGCGGATTTATTAACTTCAAGTGAAGACAAAATCCCACATACAATTGAAAGTGATTTGTTTACCCGCACGTGAAAATAATTATTTCTTGTCTTGCAGTGAAAATATTAAGACCACTTGAAAAATTAAAATTTTATAAGTGGCCTTATTGTCTCTCTATGATTTTCATTTTTCGGGTTTATTATCCTCTAGTGTTGTGGATTAATTATTTTTCGGTGCAATTGACTACCATCAGAATATTTTTAAAGATTTTTAAAAACTTATAAAAGTGGAACTTAAATAACTTTAATGGAAATGATAAAGTAAATGGCAAACTCACATCGAAAAAAATATTTTTATATGGAGGAAACAAACTGTTGCTTGATAAACTTTCAGTTGAACCAATAATAAACTCATCAAAATTTCTCGTCAGTTATACGTTCATGTAGAGTATGTTTTCTTTACAGACACGTTTATATATAAAATTGTCAATGATTGATGGAAATATTTGCATCAAGACTTAATTCAAAATCGATTTGCGAGAACGTTGTTATTGACTTGTTAAATCTATCAGTTAAATTCAATAATTAAAGAATAATCATCATTGTCAGGAAATTGCAAACTATGAGACACAATAATCTATAATTCCGGTAATTATTATTAAAATTAGAATATTTATTTACCTATATCAAAAGAAATTTCACATGTAACATTTGATTCAGAAGTAATTCTATGAAATGTCAAAATTAAGATCAAATGGAATCAATCAAAAAAGACTTATGCAAATTAATAAAAATCATTCTCAATAAAATTATTTGTCTCTTTTTAATTAACATTCATATTCCTAGTCAGATTTTTACAACACATTCATCTTATTGTGGATATATCTTAAGAAGATTAAATGCTTTGTCACATTACTTTCGAATGCTTGTTTGCTTAAAAGCAAAGTACAACGAAAGAAATTCCTATGGTGGGGAAGTCGTATATAAAAGTAGAATCAGTTTAGAACGTTTTCCTCAGTATTTTTTTGATATTTAGAGTGTTAAGGATATAATCAAAGAAAAGGATATTTAAAATGTCTTTAATCTAAAAATTTGAAAAATAAAAAATGAAAGCTTTAAGGAACATTATATTACTGCTATCTGCAGTGGTAAATATTCAGTTTATAAATGGAAAAGAATTTGTTACAAGTGATGCAGTTATTTTAGAAGGTGTGTTCTTTTAAATCAAAAAGAACTTCAATGCGTGAATAGGACAAGAAAATATTCGAATTTCTCATTAATCAAATATTTTTGCAATAATGCAAAATAATATTCAAGAAAGTGTAAAGTAACTTTAGATACATAAAAGATTTTTTTTTCAAGACATTTACATGCAGAACCAGTAATGAAAGTTTATTAAACATGTCACGTTTTTTTGTTGATGGTTTGATCTTGTTTTTAACAAAGTGTGTTTTGTTGAAAAGTTTCTAAATCCATGATTGATTTTAAAAGCAACTTTGAATCAAATTGAAACGGCAAACACATTTATAAAAAGCAAAAATAAAGAAATAATTGACCACATATATATATTTATAAAAAAAGAGTTCTTTAAAAGGACAGACTTAACGGAATGATACATGTGCAATGTACTAAGTAAACGAAGAATAAATTATTATGTTTTTTTTTACTAGGAGTGATTATAAAGAACGTAGAATGTAGGTCGTACAATCATTAGATAGTAAAATGCAGTAAGAACAGTGACAAACATGGGAAAACATTTTAACTGGAACTTATGTGCATGTGCGAAGAAATGAAAGAAAAATTCAATTAATTAATTATTTACAGTACCTTTGTTTTTCAGCTTTAAACGAGACTTCGTCTTATCTGTATAAAAGAGAAATATATTTTGGAAATCCACAATCGTTTTCAACAATCAAAGCAACTTGGGGGAAAAATGGTTTGGGCCAAGCTTGTCTAACATCTTTAGGGGTTTTAGGATCGTGTCAAAATTTTAAAACTTGTTATCCATTTTTTAAACTTGACGAACCATTTACAAAATTCCCACAATTCAGTGATATTGATTCGTGGATATTGGGAAATTACGATACATGCAGGCATTACTTAGATGATGGTCGTCAGGCATTAGGAGTTTGCTGTACAAATCCAATTGTTCAATCAGTGCACACTGATATTATAACAAATAAGCCGCAAATTGAAGGTCAAAAATTTGATTCTGGAAATGTTTTTGGAAGCTGGCCTCCACCTATACCGACTCACCCTCCAGACCACACAGCAGCTACACATCCGCCAGTAGGCACAACATGGGCTACAAAACCCCCATCACATCAAATTACTCCCTCGACGACAAAAAGACCTTCCTTTATAATTACAACCCCCGAAAATGTATTCAATAAAGATGACATTCCTTTTGGAAGTGATGCAAGTTGCGGTTTGAAAAATGGAAACATGGTAAAATCTTTGCATTAATGTATATCTGTATGGAAATTTTGAGACAGGTGCGGGTAAGGGGGGGGGGGGGGTGGTGTTGTCTAAAATTTCGTTTTTTTAATTTATGTAATTTATGATCAACTCCTTATTTTCTTAGAATAATTATTCGGCGAAATTAATTTTATGTAACAAACTAGTGTATCGGGTAGAAACCCAATGCGGATATATTCACACCGTACCATCAAAAGTCTTATGGATAGACCAAGATTTGCTCAGCATAAGTTTGAAGGGTGGGTGTGAAGTACGGCCGAGACCCATATCGACACAGTTCAAAAGTTATACCTAATTTATGTCATAATTATGTCAGCTACAAAAACACTTAGTTTGAATTTTGTCACCCTCGGGAACACTATGAACCAGTATAGCTGATTTTGGTCCAAATCTCGGCCATACTTCACACTTATTTGAACCACATTTTCTCGTAAATGTTAAAATATTATTAAAAAGTAATTAATCCTGAATTATGTCGCTATTTTGTCAAGTGTTTTAAGATAAAGAATTTGTTTTTTGGTTTCCATAATGAAGAGTATGAACAAAATTCAGATGGGGGAGTCGAAATTTTAGATTTCGTTTTTTTAAGCTATGCATTACAAAAAGTAATATTGGTATGTGATTTGTGTCAGAATTATGTCAATTCAAATAAAACATCCAAAAAATTTTTTTGACAAAAGTACACCATAGAAATCAATTTTCAATTTTGGACTAGGGGCGACCCTAGTCAAAATCAATTTTGTCACTTTTTTCTTTGAGGGTTTATCGAAATGGATTGAAACTTTGCATAAATATGCTAATGCCTAAAACAAATACAAATAAAACATTCTAAATTTTTTTGAGCAAAGAATCAAGTAGGAAATACATTTTCAATTTTGAACTAGGGGCGACCCTAGTCAAAATCAATTTTGTCACTTTTTTTCTTCGAGGGTTTATACAAAAGGATTGTAACTATGCATAAATATTCTAGTGCTTAAAACAAATACAAATAAAACATCCTAAAATTTTTTTGAGCAAAGAACCAAGAAGGAAATACATTTTCAATTTTGGACTAGGGGCGACCCTACACTCATAAAAATATTTTTAATAATTTGTTACTAAAATCTTATTAAAAAGTTTTTAATGAGAATTATTAAAATTTTAGTAAACCTTATCAAACTTTTAATAAAACTTATCAAATTTTAATAAAAGTTTTTAAAATTCTACAGCGTTGTAAAACTGTTGTAGGTTTCCAAAATTGTAAGGTTTTCATATATTTTATATACTTCACAAACGCTCCAAGAAATGACTTATACAAAAGAATGTCTTAGTTCTCATACAAAGTCATATAAAATTATAAATTTCTTATGAGGCACATTAAGTGCCAAAAATCATGCAAAGTCTTAAGCTTTGAGAAAACACTTTAGTTAAGACTTGAAAAAGCTCCATACTATAAATTAATTATACTATAAAGCTGTTTTTGTAAAAAAAGTAATCCAAGAAATTTTAATGACTTTTTACTAAAATCCATGAACAAATTTAATAAAAATTATAAAAATACATCTTAATAACTTTTTACTAATGTTTAGTAAGAAAATTATTAAAATTTTAACAGTTTTGTAAAATTTGAATGCATTTTTGTAAAACCAAAACGTTTAATAACCCTTATCAAATTTTAGTAAAAGTTATCAAGATGTATTTTTATAAACTTTTATTAAACTTTTTCATACATTTTTAATAAAATTCATCAATTTTTTTTATGAGTGTAGTCAAAATTAATTTTGTCACTTTTTTCTTCTAGGGTTTATCCAAATGGATTGAAACTTTGCATAAATATTCTATATATTCTATATAGTGCTTAAAAAAAATACAAATAAAACATCCTAAAATTTTTTTGAGCAAAGAGGATACATCCAAATACAGTAAAACTTTGTATGAGCATATTAATTTTCAGGTCACACATTTCTAAATTAATAAAAATCATTTTTTTCGACAAAATTTTAAGTCACGTTGTTTTTGAATGTACAACCAAATTTATAAAATTTGGGTCTGACGACATATAGAATACATTTCTTGCTTTAGATATTTAAAACTGTTTTGTATAAATATTAGTATACTCACACAAAGTTTCACTGTAATTGGATAAACCTTCGAAGAAAAAAAGTGAAAAACTAGGTTTTGACTAGACCTGTCCCAAGTTCATAATTGAAAATGTATTTCCTACTTGGTTCTTTGCTCAAAAAAATTTTTGGATATTTTTTTGTATTTGTTTTAAGCACTAGAATGCTTATGCAAAGTTTCAATCCATTTGGATAAACCCTCGAAGAAAAAAGTGACAAAATTGATTTTGACTAGGGTCGCCCCTAGTCCAAAGTTGAAAATGTATTTCCTTCTTGGTTCTTTGCTCAAAAAAATTTTTTTCATCTAAAGTTTAATTTAAAATAAAAAAAAAACACAGTGCTTTTTCTGAAGCAACGGCTGTTCCTACCTTGCTCAAAAACAATACAACTCTTCTATAGAGCAGCACTGATCAAATGTAAAAAACTAGAAGTCTCTACGATGTCTCGTTATTGAGATTTCTTACTGATTAACTTGCGTGCTTGTTTGCTTGTTTGCTTGCTTACAGAAAGCGTATTTTGCGATTTTCTCAGCAATGCCGCAACCAATTTGAAATCTGTTTTTTGAAAATGATGTAAAATTTCAGGCACAAACTTTTCTTTTATAACCAATTTTGCTTTGTTTTCTCACAAAATGCGAAAAACTGATTTTTCAATCTGAACAAAACCAGTAGATTCACACGTGAAAACGTTGTGAATATAATATATTTTTTCAATAGGATCAAAACAGAATCGTTGGAGGACAAAACGCTGACCCACTGGAATGGCCATGGATTGCTGTAATGTTTAGTGGTGATCGACAATTTTGCGGTGGTTCACTAATTGATGACAGGCACATTTTATCAGCTGGTAAACTTTAATGAGTTTATAATTACAAAAATAATAAAATTTAAATGACAATATTTGAATTCATTTACAGCTCATTGTGTTGCTCATTTCAGTTCATGGGATGTTACAAGACTAACAGTCCGTTTGGGAGATTACAATATAAGAATTCCTACAGAAGTAAAACATATTGAACGAAAAGTGAAAAGAATTGTTCGACATAAAGGATTTGATTCAAGAACATTGTATAATGACATTGCAATTATAACACTTGATAAAAAGGTTCCCTTTTCAAGAGGCATTCGGCCAATTTGTTTACCATCAGCTGATTCTGTCAGCTATCATGGTAAAATAGGAACTGTTGTAGGTTGGGGTTCTCTAAGAGAAAATGGTGCTCAACCAAGTATTCTTCAAGAAGTGACTTTACCAATTTGGAAAAACGAAGAATGCAAACTTAAATACGGACCTGCAGGTCTATTAATATTTTCTTAACAAGCTTTATATCTTTTATAAATTATTTAAATTAATGAAGATGAAAAGTTTAGTTCAGTAGCACAATCGGTCTAAACTTTTTTTCAATTTTATTTTTTTTTTTATAAATAAAATCTCTATATATAGCACCCGGAGGAATTATAAATACAATGATATGTGCTGGACAAGCCGCAAAAGGTATTTTTTAATTTACTTTATAATTATACTAAAATAAAAAATTTTATTTTTCCTTAAATTTTTGTCTTTATAGATAGTTGTTCTGGAGGAAAGTTTTGATTATATTCGTTTGTTTATTAAAGAAAATACTGATTTTTGTTTTTTAATTTTACAGATTCTGGTAAATTTTTGAAGTTAATTTATACACATTAAGATGTAACAGATATTACAATTAGGAGGTAATGCAATGTAATTTAAACTACATATTTGCAGTTGTATAATTGAGCAATTGAATATATTCCTGTTTCTAGGTCCACTTGTTATTAATAATGGAAAATGGACACAAATCGGTATTGTGAGCTGGGGAATCGGATGTGGAAAAGGACAATATCCAGGCGTAAAGAAAAAAATGAGATTTTTGTTGAAAACCATTTAAATTTTAAAAGATAAAAATTTTAGGTTTACACTCGAGTAACATCATTCCTGCCATGGATAGAAAAGAATACAAAAGAATCATAATTTATCGTTTATCATATATGATATTTAAGAGCTTGTTAAAATTTTACTTGCAATAAATTCATCCTATGTTTTCATTTTTAAATAAATTTATCACATCATATTTTTTTTTTGACCAAGCCTAAAGCTGTTTCGTAGTAAATTTTAATGGTTTTGAATTTTAGTAAGTAATAGGGTTTCATTTACGAGATCCGAGATTTAAATAAAAATCTAATCAAAAATTTAAATTTTTTGGATATTTTTAATTCCACCTCCTTCAACAAGCCTTCATACGTGATACGTGAGCCAACTCATTACAAAATTCCAGAACTCATAAAAATCATTAAGGTCATTCCTCACGAGCAATGGTGGTGAATTTATTTGTTTTTTTAATTAACTGATAAGCATTCTTTACTGAAAATGACAGATAAGCATTCTTTACTGAAAAGACATTTACTCAAACTAAAATAAACAAAAAAAGGGCGGGGGATATATCCAGATATATCAGTGTTTATTAATTTTTTTTTATTTCTTACAACTACATTCTATACTATTATCCTCTAACTTGTCCATATCTTTTGAAATGCTTATAGGACTAACAATTTTTTCAGAAAATTTCTCAAGTAGCGTTATGTAATAGCAATAAATATTGTTGGGTGACAAATTGTTGAAAACAAATTGACGAGCGTTTTTCGAAATTTTTTTTGCCTCATTATCGTTTTGTGAGAGCAAAATAATATTTTTAATTAGATTTAATTTTGGATCATGACTGAATGGTATAAAGTGCTTAAAAGGTTCAAGCTTATTATAAAAATGTTCATAATAATTAGAATCTTGTTTTAAAACAACTGAATTACTAGCTAAGAGATATGGAAATCGATATGCTGCAACAGTGCCGTCAATATTAATTTGATATTTGTACTTAAAGAAGTCTGTAAATGCTATGTGATCAGTTTTTGGACCATAAATTGAAATTTCGTCTTTGAAGAAAAAGAAATTTGTAATTGTACAGTTTAGCAAATTTGTATATTTTTTTGCTAATAAAACAAGTTCTAGCCGTTCTCTTCGTGAATCTCGACCTTTAAAAAATCCTTTTGATATCTTTTCATTCCATCTCCATTTTTCTTTTTGAACTGAAAATATATCAACTGACGTACGATACATCATATTAATAGTTGATTCTGTTAGTTCATATGTTGGTACTACAATATCAAGTGTAGATTTGGAACCACACCACGAAAATATTGGAAATTTTTCACTTGACGTTGCTTTAACTATAGGCCAATCACCAAGATTAAAAAAGAATTCAAGATCAGGAAGAAGAACTTTATTTTTTAGTGAAATAAGCATAGCATCAACAAACATTTTAAAACCTACATACTGTCCATAACATTTTCGATAAATTTCATTTTCTTTAAAAACATAGTTGCAAATTGATGATGATCTAGAATTTTCATAATTCTGTTTGACATAATTTCTCATTTCTGTAAAATTAATTTCTTTAAAATTATCTAAATCTTTTTCAATTTGCTCTTCAATTTTATCACCACAATTCATTAAATACTTAATTTTTTTTATGGTTTTTGGGCACTTGCAATTTTCAGGATAAATTGAACTAATACAAATTGGGGAATCTTTAATGTGTTTATTTCTGAATTTCAATTCTAATTCAATATGATGACACTCCTGATATGCTCGAATCCGTAAGATGAATAATCCATCACCTGTATAGATTTTATCCAAAGAGTAACGTCGACAGTTACTTCGCAGTGTGAAATTAAACAAATGTTGATCTCTTTCAGATAAAAAAGTAACACTGTTGAAGTAAATTAATTAATTTTCTTTCACATTTACATTCCAATTAAAACAATACTTACTTTCGACCATATATATTTAGAAATTGTACATAAAAGTAGTTGACCGGTAAATTAATATTATTTTTAATTAAATCAGTTTCAATTATTAAACCATCGTGAACCCAACAATATGTTATTGAAATTCTTAATAAACAAATCAATAATAGTTTCCACATTTTCATACTTGTAATTATTTTATATATTATTCGATATGGCAAAAATAAAATAAAACATAAACATGCACAATAGACCTGATTTCTGACTTTAATGTATTCACACCTTCTTATCTAAAAAATTAAAAAAAATACACTTCTAATTTGAGATTGCAAACCAGCTAAGGTAAATAAAAAAATGAAGTTTCTGAACAGACTAAAAATGGCTCAGGTGTACAGGATCTTTCCAACATAGTACTTCTTTTCTTATGTTTCATTTTATTAGCAGTAGAAAATATGAAAATATTTCTTATGGTGTGAATGCATATAGGGTAAAACATGTTGAAATTTGTGTGTTTTTGCACTTGAAGATTTCATTTGCTTGTAACTTTTTAATGCCTCACTTTAAAAATTTATTGTTGGGCTTAAATGATCAAAAATTGTTGGAATTTTCAGTTTTTAATCTTTTTTGATGACTATGCTGCTTATGGAAAGAGAAATTTGACATTTTTGGTCAAATGTTAAAATTTGTGCGGAAAATTTTAAAATTTGTGCGAAAATGTTAAAATTTGTGCGTTTTTTTGACAGCAAGCATTTACACATTTCAATTCATAAATGCAAACAAACAATTTTTTTGGAGCAGCTTTAAAATTTGAAAAATTAAAAATCCCATACAAAATTGTGATTTTTATATTTATAAATATTTGGACATAACCAGTGCTGCTTGTAATCAAATCACAGTTTTAATATAAAATTTGATAATTGCTATACTGTTTCAAAAGAAATTCAAGTTATAAAAATCATTGGAAGTGCTTTAAAAATTGATTTTAAAATTTCTTGATTGTAAATGATAAAATTTGTGCGAAATTTTTTTACAAATTTTGAAATTTGTGCGCTTTTTGTGGTAGAAAGCGATGGGAATTTTTGTCAACAACAAATATTATATACGTATGAAATTCATGTTTTTATAGGATTTTACGAAGGATAGCATAAATTGAACTACTGAAAGTCAAAAACTGATAACAGCTGATAAAAATGAAAAACGTGGATCATTTAAAATTTTAGATAAAAATAAAAAAATGCAAAAGACTTCAAGAATATCCATACATTCAAAAAGTATATCCTGTTTAGTGTTTAATTTCAGATCTTTAAATAAAAACATTTTGATTTCCTAATTCTCATCTTTTTATTGTTAAAACACTATGCTGCATAAAATTTACAAAAAAATTGGAGGAATTGCTGATTTAATGGATGTTCCTTTGACAATTGTAAACTCAGTCAGCTCAAACTGAGTTAAATCTTGAATCTTGCATTATTTCTTGAGGAAAAGGTTTGAAACTCTTGGATATTCCTATAGAATAATAGATTTATTTACGATAAACTTTTAAACACAACTTTCTTTAATGAAATCTTTTAACAGAATAACTTTGCAATCAAAATCAGATTGCTTTGATCAATAGAGAATTCAATAATTCAATACTCCTCCTTAATATTAACTTCGTATATATTATTATGTTAATATTACTAACGCAGTCCACAATCGTCGGTAAATTTCTTTAGTTCAATATTACCTAGCGGCTTGGTCATCATATCTGCTATATTTACGCCAGTGCTGCAATATTTCAGTTCAATCTCTCCTAAATCAACCAATTGCTTCACATAGTGATATTTAGTATCGATGTGCTTGCTTCTGTTGCTAAATTTCTGATTGGATATCAGCTTCATACTACTTTGACTGTCTGTATACAGAGTAATTTTATCAGGAACAGCAAACTCAGAAAAAGAATTGGTCAACATTTTAACCCATTTTAGCTCTTTGCAACTTTCTGATAGTGCGATGTATTCAGCCTCCATCGATGATAACGACACTATATCTTGTTTTCTGCTGCACCATGAAACAACACCTCCATTAATTGCACAAAGAAAACCACTGATAGATCTCCGGTCCAACGAATCTTCAGCCCAACTTGCATCAGAATAAACTTCCAATTTTCCAACCTTGTTCTTGTCACTCAACTTCAAATTTAGACTCTTTGTTCCATTAAGATAGCGAATTATTCTCCTTGCTTCTATCAAATCGGTCTTCGTTGGTTTTGAAATTTTTTGACTCAATATTCCAACAGATGCAGCTATATCAGGTCTTGTATTCGTATTAACATACAACAGTTTACCAATGAGCTTTCTGTACTCATTATTTGATTCTAAATAGTTTTCGTCATGATGTCTAAAATAGCCAGTCATTAAAAAATATTTTGAATATTTTCCATTATTCAGTCCAGCTTCTTCCACAATCTTTTCAATATATTATTTCTGACTTATGTGAAAATTTCCATCTTCATCACGTTTCACATCAATTCCCAAAAAATGCTTTACACTTCCCATATCTTTTACTTCAAAAAGACTTCCTATGTGATTCTTAAATTTTTCTATCAGTTTTTCACTATTCGATGCGACTAGAATGTCATCGACATGAACAATCATATAGCAATTGTCGTTTCCTCTCTTCATGCTGTACAGACATTTATCAACTTCACTTTGCTTGAATCCAAAATTGATCACTGCTTCATGATAAATTTTATTCCATGCTCTTGCTGCTTGTTTCAAACCATAAAGGCTTTTTCTTAACTTGCAAGCATCATTTCCCTTCTCAAATCCACGTGGTTGCTTCATATATATCTCCTCCTCAATATCACCATTCAAGAATGCAGTCTTGATATCAAACTGTTTATATGATAATTATTAACACCAGCTATCGACATGAGAATCCTAAATGTTGCTGATCGAGCTACTGGAGCAAAAACCTCATCATAATCTTCTCCATACTTTTGGGAAAAACCTTGAGCAACTAATCTTGCTTTATAAGAACACACCTTGCCATTCTCATCTCGCTTAAGCTTGTAAACCCATTTACAGCCAATCGAACGTTTATTCTTAGGCAATTTTACGAGATCCCAGGTTTTGTTTTGATTAATGGACTTAATCTCGTCTTTCATAGCTCCTTTCCACTTATCAGCATCAATACAGTTCATAGCCTGTTTGAGTGTCTTAGGCTCAAAGTCAACTCTTGATATATAAGTAACATAATCACCAAGACGATCAGGTTTCTTTCCTTTATTTCTTCTATTTGATACTCTAGTTTCAACACTTTTTTCATTCTCCTCCTGAACCAAAATGTTCTGATCATTCAATAAATTATCATCAACGACAATATCCTGTCTTTGATCATCTTCAAAAATAGCAGATTCATTATAATCTTGATCTGTCTCTTCTTCATGCTCTTCATCATATATCCAGGTACCAATTCAGTGCTACTACTCTCTATTTGATGAGATGAATTCTGATTTATCTTCATGAACTTATCTTTCAGAAACACAACATCACGTGACACAATTATCTTTTGCTGTTTCACATTTCCAAGTCGATATGCTTTCGACCATCCGTCATATCCCACGAATGCCAGCTTTTCAGCTTTGGGATCTAACTTCTTTCGCTTCTGATGAGGAATCATCACATAAGCACCAACACCGAATTCTTTTAAGTTTGAAAAATTTGGCTCATTGTCAAAAAACTTTTCATATGGAGTTTTAACACTATCCTTGCTCATTCAGAGTGTAGTTGGCATTCATTATTGCTTCAACCCAGTATTCTCTCGGCATACCTGACTCAGTAAGCATCGTCCTACATACCTCAACTAATGTCCTGTTCTTTCTCTCGGAAATACCATTTTGCTCTGGTGAGTAAGCTACAGTACACTGAAAGCGAATGCCCTCTGAACGTAAATATTTTTGAACTTCCTCACTTAAGTACTCAGTCCCTCGATCTGTACGAAACATTTTAACCTTCCTATCGAAGGTGTTCTTTAACAGTTCCAAGTATTCAATAACTTTTGACTGTACTTCGCTTTTTTTCTTCAATAAAAAAACAGCACTAAACTTGGAATAAACATCTGTGAATGTTGCGAAATAACGAAATCCACCAACGGATGTCATTGGCATCGGGCCACAAATATCACTGACAATACAGTCAAGTGTATTTTCTACTGGTGTTGCCATTTTTGGAAATGAATTCCGAGTAATTTTCTCAGCAATGCATGATTCGCACACGACAGTACAATTACAATCAGTAATCTTTAAACCTTTGTCTTTCATTGCTAATATATCATGCATATTTCTATGAGCTAGTCTGCGATGCCATTCATGTACACAGCATCTATCCACTCCGTCTCCAACTATATATGATCTCTCGGTTTTAGCCTTCACAATATACATATCACCTGATTTCTCAGCAATTTGTAAATGCTCCAGACCTTCCTTTCTGATGAAGCAGCCAGTTGAAGTAAATATTGTACTAAAACCTTTTCTACAGAGTTTAGAGACAGAAATCAGATTACTGTCAATGCATGGCACCAAAAGTACGTCAGTCAAATCTACAGAAAAGCTTTTATTCTCTACAAAAACGTTCAAACGGACATCCCCTCGACCAATGTACTCAACTTTCTCTCCATTCGCAACAGTGACAGTTCCACAATATTTTTCGTCTAATCTACTGAAAAATGATTTACTGTATGTCATGTGAGAGGAGGCTCCTGAGTCAATACACCACTGAAAATCCTTGGGATTAAAACAATTTTTATACCATGGTCCATAATTTGCCATCTTGGCACTCTCAGCTTTATTAGATTTCTTCACGTCAGAATTTGACATCAACATTGGACAATTTCGCTTCATGTGGCCTTTTTGCTTGCAGTAGAAACACTCAATAGCTTCCTTCACATCAACCTTGAATAGTTGACTGCTAATCTTGCTTGCAGCATCCAAGTCTTTGCTCAAATTCTCACTTCGTCGTTTATATTCATCAAGAAGCTTCAACTTGACACTTTGTATCGTTAGTTCCTTTTCTTTCCATGATTCGAGAGCAGTTACCAAACTTTCATATTCAGAATTCAAGCTTGACAAAATTGCGCTTACAACCATTGTATCTTCTAATTTGTCTCCACAGTCTTTAATATTTTGAACAATCGAAAGCATGTCTTGAATGTGCTTCTGCATGTCACCACCAATTGGCAATTCTGACTTGAACAGCTTCTTATAGAGTCGCAGTTTGTGGCCAATAGATTCATTTAAATGAAACTTTTTTAAAGCCTCCCGTGCATCTTTTCCATCTCTTGAATCAGCAATATGAACAAGTTGATCATTGTCAACCATGATAGCGATATTAGATAGTGCCTTTAATCCTTTTGTCTCATCTTCCTTCTTCTTCGAGCCTGGATCAATCATCTCCCACAAATCTTCCTTTATCAAGATCATTTTCATTCGAAATGCCCAAACTCGATAAGTCGAGTTGTTCAATCGCTCAAACATCAATTGACTTTTACTTTGACCTTCCATCGCGTTAAGGCCCATAACCTCTTGGATATTCCTATAGAATAATAGATTTATTTATGATAAACTTTTCAACACAACTATCTTTAATGAAATCTTTTAACAGAATAACTTTGCAATCAAAATCAGATTGCTTTGATCAATAGAGAATTCAATAATTCAATAGAAACAAATCAGTTTTATGTTCTTAATTTCATTTAAAGTTTATTCAAAGTAGTTCCTTCAGCAAAAATATCAATTTCTGTTCCAAAAATATGTAAATAAAATGTTTGTTTACATTTAAGAATTGCAATTATGTCAAAGATTGCTATCAAAAAAACGGACAAATTTCAAAATTTTCCCCACAAATTTCAAAATTTGATCGAAAATGTCAAAATCTCTTTTCATAAGCAGCATATCCTTCAAAAAACATTATTAACTGAAAATTCCCACCATTATTGATTTTTTGAGCCCATTAGCAATTTTTTTTTCATCATCATTCATTAGCAAGTTATTTACAAATCAAATCTCCATGTGCAAAAACACACAAATTTCAACATGTTTTACCCTATATATAAACAAAGCAGTTATATATATATATATAACATGGACAAAAAAAAAACACCATTTACAATGTTGAAAGTAAAAGCACTAGCATGTTTCATACAGTTTCATATTTCATATATTCCAGTATAATGCAAGAAGTTAAAAAATTTATATTTAAATAAATCATTTGGTTTTTGGTTTATTTGAAATTTCACGCTTAATAACAGTAAAACTTGATCTGTTTCATACTTGATTTTTTCACTTGCAACTTTTGAGCTTTGAAAATCATCCAGCTAAGAATCTTAATTTAATAATTATATTAAAACAACCACAAAATCCCATGGACATGTTAGCTTACAGATGGAAATTTTTTCACTTTTATTGTTCAAAATTAGAACTTAATCATTATACAAATTTAATAGGAATCTAATTTGATTCATTTATGAATTTAATTATAAGATTTTATGATGATTTACTTGTGGATAAAAGTGCGAGTAATCCAGAGGTTCCAGAAATTGTAATCATGTAATTAAATGTTGGTGAGATGCTACGCAATAAGTAGAAGCTAAGGAAGATTACAAAAGCCAAAAACAGTGCATTATTGTAAAAAATAGAGAAAACTGTAGCTTCAAAGTCGGCAACTTCATTCTTTTTCCATAAAATTCTCTCATCTTTTTCTTTGCGGGACATTTTGTCATCAGCAAGTAATTGAGTCATTTCGCGAGTAACAGCATCTTCCCTCTTTACGGCAACTTTATGTTTCAAAGTAAATTTAGTGTTTCTATATGCCATAGCCATTAAATATGTGCTGATTGCAGTGAATGCGACGAAAAAAATCAATGACGGAAGCAATTCCATTTGATGAATTCTCCAGTATAACCCTGAAAGATATTAAATATTAATTTTCTGAATATTTTTAACACTTTCTGTAACTTTATAAATGGTAGCTATTCAATGTATGCCAGGGCCTATTAAATCAAGATCATGTTTAATTGATAAACATGAAAATTTGCAAGAAAATCATTGATGATGTGGATTGATTTTTTTATATTTTAAGACATAAAATTTATACTTACAGATTGGCAAAGCTGATGTAATTGCGGCGCTACCATAAAACAGCATATTTGATCCTGTCGAGACATTACGGTTGAAATCTTGAAGAAGCAATTCCTCTTCCTTTGTAAACATTGCTGATTTCTTTTCTTGGACCATTTTTATTTGAGAATTTATTAATTTTTCAAACTTCTTCACAGAGCTCCTTTCACAATAATAAATTTTTTTATGTTGATTCCAACAGTTTCCACGTAGACGTTAGTCGACTTTTTTACAAGGGCAATTTAAAATTCCATAAATCGTTGAGTCTAAGCGATCGCGTGATAATACTCACACAATATATTTTTAACAAGGGGTGATTTTCTTAAGTGAAGCAATAGTTTAATGGATATAGGTATTTACTTAAAAATTTATTAACAATTTTCTAAAGCGAAATGCTCAGCACTTTTAATGGCTTCTTGTAACATACTGTGAAATGATTCTGCCTTAACTTTTCGTCCTTTCATAAAACAAACTTCCATCTTGTTCTGTCCTTTTGGGGGCTCAACTTTCGATTTAAAATATTCAGCAAAGCATTTAAGCCACTTTTCAGCATCAAATGTTTCGTGAATCATTTTCTGTGGGACACAACAACGAGCTTTAATCTCGTCATCAACATATGATGCTATTATGACTGGCTTTTCATTGCCGACTAATCTAGTCGCTTTTTGTAGCGAGACATTCTTCATAAGTTCTGAGCATGTAAGAAAGTGAATAATAAATTTTGAGTCATTATGTTGTCGAGTAATTAATTTCATCTCTATGTCAAGTAATTCGCTCACTACAATTCTGCTTTCATTCTTTATATGATCTTTAATAGCTTCAATCAGTCTCTGGCACTCGAGTTTTTTGAGATACGAAATTTCCAGGCTTATTAATTCTGTTGAAATTCGTCGAACATTGCTTAATATGTCATTGAAATTTTCTAGACTTGCAAATTCCTTTAGTTTATTTAATTCATTTATGATCTCATCTCCTTTAATAATTGCATTTCGTGCAGTATTTGCAGTTAGTCCAGTAAATAAATAACTAGTTCTTCCTGTTGACTTGACACTTGAAAAAGTAAAATCTTCAATTTGACTTGTGTTATGAACATGACTTCCACAACATAATTCTGCTGAAAGATTACCAAAACTAACGATTCTTATATTATCGTCGGGATAAATTTCGCCGGGAATCATTAAAATATTCTTATCTGTTTGATTTTGTAGTTGCTGAGAATTTACGATTTCAATTCTTTGCTCAAGATTTTCATTCTTAATGACTTTATGAACTGCCTGCTCAATATTTCGAACATCTGTTTCGCTTAATTTTGGGCCTATCATTGCTAATTCAATTTTCAACTGATTGCTTGTAACTAGACTTGATTTTTGATAAATTGGAAGTTTCTTTAGTTGCCTTATGACTGCATTAATAATATGGGTAGCTGAATGATTTTGAATGCATTTAGTTCGCTTAGAATCATCAATTTTCATTTCCACTGCATCTCCAATTTTAAGAATCTCATTTGAATTGTGATTGTGATTAATGCTGTGAAAAATTATTTCTTTTTGTGACGTTACTAAATTAATTCTAAACTTATGTTCATTTTTTATCAAAAATCCTGAATCAGATTCTTGTCCACCAGATTCATAATAAAATGGGCTGCATTCAGTCACAATTCGAATAGACGAAGTATTAGCATCCGATGAACTGTTAATTTCAGAACCATTGCTATCAAACATTGCTAAAATCTTAGTGTTTACTGATTTCGTACAAAACATATGCTTTGAATTGTCATAAACGTATTCATACTTTAAGTCATTCTTTGTTGATAAAATTGATTCGTTTAATTTTATTACCTTTTCACCATCGACGCGTTCGAATAATATATTTTTCATCTTTTCCATTTGATCTTCATATCCATCAATATCAACCGTCATGTGCTCTATTTCTGCTAATTTTTCTATTAAATCTATATCTAAGCCATATGTTGAATGCAACTTTAAAGCCATTTCGGCTGAAATTTCCTTTTTGTTCGACTTTTTATATCTATTAAAGTCCTGGTAAGCGTTTAAAAATCCTGGATAATCTAACAAATCTAAGTCATTAAGCTTTGGATTGTGATTAATAATCTCCTTCATTCCTTTTGACAATGATAGATTCTCTTTTAAAGACTGGAAATATTCTTCTTCATATTTTAAAATGTCTAAAGTATTAAAGAGCTTTTGGTGCAATTCAGGAAATGTATCTCCTAATATATTGGCAACAGTAGGAATAGTTTCGACCAATAAGTTCTGATGGCCGAAATGTTTTACAGAAATGTTGATGCACTTTCGTAAAATTCTACGAAGCTTTTGGCTATAATAAAAGTGAGTCTCATTAGTTCATGCTATAATTAAATTGACAGTTATGCATACTTTTGCTCAGGAAACATTCCATCGGCTAAACAAATGGCAATCATACGACTATGATCAGCTAAAATACGATATGATGTGTCGCGTTTAAAATCATTACCACTAAATGAGCCCGTGTATGGTGAACAATGTGTGATTTTTTCAATTTTCTTAAAAATTGGCAAAAAAAGATCAGTGTCATAGTTGCTGGACTTTCCTTGAAGAAATGCAACAAGTCTCTCCAAACCCATGCCTGTATCAATGAATTTTTCAGAAAGATTTTCAATTTCTCCATCATTTCTTCTATGATTTTGAATAAAAACGATATTCCAAATTTCTGTCAGGTCACTTTTGCCTATATTCACATCATGTCCTCTATTTTTGGTCTCATAAGATGGCAAATGATCAATATGAATTTCTGTACACGGTCCACACGGACCACATTTTCCCATCTCCCAAAAGTTATCCTTCATATCAAATCCGATTATTCGATCTTTTTTGACACCAATATTAAGCCATATATCTCGACATTCTAAATCAGGACTCAGATTATTTTCATCGTTTCCATTAAAATATGTAACATATAATCGTTCAGCACGAATTTTATAGACATCAGTTAAAAGCTTCCATGCCATTTCACATGCTTCCTTTTTGAAATATTCTCCAAAAGACCAATTACCTAGCATTTCAAAAAATGTATGATGATAGCTATCGCTTCCTACAATTGACAAATCATTATGCTTTCCACCAACTCTTATACATTTCTGGGTGTTTGCAACTTTTTTATATACTGGTAGCTGATATCCAAGAAAGATGTTCTTAAACTAAAAAATTACAAAATACAATTAAACTTTTGAAGAAGGAAGTGATTCGACTTACTTGATTCATGCCTGCATTAGTAAAAGACAATGTTTTGTCACAGAATGGAATAACTGATGAGCTTTTAACAAATTCATGCTGATTATCCTTAATAAAAAAGTCTAGAAACTGTTTTCGAATGACATCCGATGAATTATGATTTGTTGAATAATGTGTACTTAATAGAATTCTTAATCCTTTACTATTTCGCACGATATTTCTATTTATATAATTCATAATTTTAAAATCAACAATAAACATCAGTCAAGTTCGAAATTTGAAAAAAGTAAAGTTCGAAATTCAACTTGATTCAAACATAAAAACACAAAATTTCCATCAAACTTAAATTAATTAAAATTCAACATTTAACAAGCGATATAACAGAGAAAAACGTTCAAGTTCCTTTATTAAATGGATCTAGAAGTTATGGATGAAGCATTACATACAGTAAGTTGAATGAATTTTTATTAAATATTGAATAATGTCATTTTCTTTGTTTTTATTTTGAAACATTTCCTTCGTTGTAAAAAAAGCTATTTTTAAGCCTAGTTTATATAATTATTTGTAGCATTCACTGAGAATTTCTCATTAGAAAGTGTTTAAACTCCTTAAAACTTAAAAAGAAAATTCCAAACAAAAGTTTTTGAAATTGCGTCATTTTATTCATATTTGGTCCAGACTACCGCCATTCCATTTTCGAAAACTTCGAAATTACTTCGAAGTTTTCGAAATAGTTCAAATATTTTTTTCCGTTATGCATAATGTAAACAAATAAATTCCTTGAGACATTTTAAACAATAAAATCACTTAAAAAGTAATTAATAAATACAAAAATGAGCAAGTGCGCAGTCTTTAACTGTGAAAACAAACGAAAGGATGGAAAAGCATTATTTCGAATGCCTTTAAAACCTTCTCCAATATTTCTTTCATTTTGCTACAAAATTGAATTTAATTATCGACAATGTGATTCAGTTGATAGAAACCACTCCGCATCCCAAATTAAATCATCCTTTAAAGCAGCAGTGAAAGAAATTCCAACTAGTTTTAAACACTGCATTTTGATATTTGAAGACTTTTTTAAGGATTTATTTAAATTTTAGATTGAAACTGTCTCATCAGAAACGTTTTTTAAATCGAAAGGAGCTGTTTGCATCAAAGTTTAAATGAATAATCTGATTTAGCTTTCCTTGATTTTAACGGTAATTTTGTTTTTGAATTCAAACGGTCATTTTTTTTTTGAATCATACCAAATTTTTTTTGTCCATTTTTCAAAAAATAACGGTCGTTTTCGGAATGGCGGTAGTCTGATTTGGTCAACAAAGTTTTTACTATCGATAAGCAGTTTGTTCTGTATGCTATGATGATTAATTGTTGGCTGTCTTTTGAAATCACTTTGGAGAACAATAATATTTGAATTTAATGTAATTAATTGATGAGACAAAGTGCTTCACATCTCGTCACAAAGATTTGTTAAAAATTGATAAACGTGTGGCAATGAAAATAAAAAGTTTTGCGACGTAAATAAACGGAGTGGAGTTATGCTCAGAGCATTAGCTTACTCTCTTAAATAATATTTTCATTGATTCGTGGGAGAGTATTTCTTTTTCGCTTGAAGAAGAATTAAATTAAAAGTTAGTTTATATCTGCAGTTTGAGTTGAGCTATTGAAAAATTATTGTATATTAATGATATTAATTAAATTATAATTTTAAATTTAAATAACTTTTAAATTATGAGGTGAATTTCCGCTAGAGAAGTATTATATTCTTTCATCGTTAAGCAAAAATTCTTAAATAATTCAATCTTAATCAAAGTTGTTAAGTGATAAAATTAATAAATTAGGGTCCAACAACCAACTTTGAGGTTTGTAACAGCATTAAAACAAATTTGTCATTTGACAATTGCACGACATTGATTACTGCGTAGTTAACCGGCATCATGAGAAATGTTCACTAGTTAATAACTCAATGGTAAAAAAAATTAGAATCAAAAATCCTTTTAAAGGATACATTTCACATATTCAAATGATGCTAATAAATTTCGTATAGTTTTTTTTTATATTCACACCGTTTTCACGTGTGAATCTATTGGTTTTGTTCAGATTGAAAAATCAGTTTTTTGAATTTTGTGAGGATATGGAGCAAGATAGCTTGAAATGTTCAGAGATGAAAAGTTTGTGCCTGGAATTTCACATCTTTTGCAAGAAACAGATTTAAAATTGGTTGCGGCATTGCTGAGAAAATCGCAAAATACCCTTTCTGTAAGTAAACATGCAAGCAAGCAAGTTAATCAGCAAGAAATCACAATAACAAGACATCGTAGAGACTTCTAGTTTTTTACATTTGATCCGTACTGCTCTATAGAAGAGCTGTATTGTTTTTAAGCAAGGTAGGAACAGCCATTGCTTCAGAAAAAGCAGAAAACTTTCCTTTCTTACGAATTTTTTAAAACAAAAGTTCACTGTGATTTTTATAAAATTAAACTTTGGATGAAAAATTTTTTTAAAAAACTTTTAAAGAATGTTCGTTAAGCTTTAAACCTTCAAACTTATGCTGAGCAAATCTTGGTCTATCCATAAAACTTTTGATGGTGCGGTGTGAATATATCCGCATTAGGTTTCTACCCGATACACTAGTTTATTCTGCGACGCAATAAAATGCATGCAACACTTTTAGATAGTGCATTTGCTTCGTTTTGCACTTGTAAATTTATCAGATTTATTTTTTTTACCATTGAAAAAAGAAAAAAAAGACATTCATAAAGTAGAGAATAACTTTTTTTTCAAATTAATATATTGCGTATTGAATCAACAATCAGCTATGCTACGTGCAGCTTGTCTGCGAGAACCTTTTTGGGTAAAGCAAATAAAACATTTGCCTTTATTTTGAAAAAAAAAAAAATAAAAACCAAAGTGATTCTTGGTTAAAAGTGTAGCAGAATTAAATTTACTAACGCAACTTTAAATATTGATTTTGAATCAGTGTTGAAATCTGCCTATACTTCTGCAAAAAGACACTTTCTATATGAAGAATTTATCTTCTGCAGATTTCTGTCTGCATGTAGATTAAAAAAAGTATCTACATGAAGAATCTATCTTCCAAAGAATTCTGTCTTCCACAGATTTCTGTCTGCATGTAGATCAAAAAAAGTGTCTACATGCAGAATCTGTCTTCCAAAGATTTCTGTCTTCCACAGGGTTTGTCTGCATGCAGATTATTATATTTTGATATTTAATAAATATTTTTAAATCAAAAACACATAGAAAGATTTAGGATACAAAATAAAACAACGAAATTAATTTTGCAAATTAATGTGGATTCTTCTTCACTTCCTCTGACAAGTCTCTTTTATAAAAAAATGATCAAACATTTACGGGCTTTTAAAATTAATAAAAAGGGTTTTTCATTTAGATTTTCTCGTTGTCAGAAAAATGCTTAATAATAGCATAAATACACTGAGTTACGCTTTTTATTAAGTATTCGATACGCCAATAAAACGATAGAACTGAGAAAACGTAGAAGGCTACGATGTCTGGTTGCTTCTATTTCAATCAATAAGCTACCTTTTTGAAATAAGTTTCAAAAATGCACTAAAAATGGATATTTTCAGTAACATACACACAATTTATCCACATTCACAAAATCACCATTCGCCACATTTGTCATCAGATTCATGAAAAGAAAAAAATATTTTGAATTAGTGTTTTATATTTGATTAAAATTAAGCTTCTCTGTCAGTCCAATTCGTACATTTTTACGAACTCTGTAAACCGTTACCTACAAATTGTAAGAAAATATTTGCATTTCGAGGTAATCGGGAAAATTTGAAAATTATTTGACCGTTAAAAGTACTTATTATTGTTAATTTATTGTAAAACCACACTTTTTCATTAAAATATAATAATCTGCATGCAGACAAACCCTGTGGAAGACAGAAATCTTTGGAAGACAGATTCTGCATGTAGACACTTTTTTTGATCTACATGCAGACAGAAATCTGTGGAAGACAGAATTCTTTGGAAGACAGATTCTGCATGTAGACACTTTTTTTAATCTACATGCAGACAGAAATCTGTAGAAGATACATTCTTCATAAAGATAAAATCTTTTAAAGATTCTGTAGTCTTTGTCTATGGAAGACGTCTGTCATTTCAACACTGTTTTGAAATGTTAAAAATATAAGATTTTTTTTTATTTTATTTTAAACATTTAGGAGCGCAAAGAATCTGGAAAGCGTGGAAGAAAGCCAGGACGTAAAGCAGGGCCTGAAAAAGTCGATATGAAAGCGAAATTGGAAAGATCTCGTCAAAGTGCGCGAGAATGTCGAGCTAGGAAGAAATTAAGGTATAAAAAATAAAATTGTTAAATAATTATTTAAGTTGCATGTTTAAATTTCTAATTTTAAAAAAATCAGATACCAATATCTTGAAGAACTAGTAGCTGATCGCGAGAAAGCTGTAATACAATTGAGAGGCGAGATTGAAAGGTACAAAATATGGGCCGATGAGATTGATCAGGGTCGATTTCCTGAAGAAGCATCTGAAATTTTAAAAGAATTTGGAATTATAAAACCCGAGTAAATTATATTATTTTTAATGATTCAGCTCTAAATGAATGCTAAAGAACTGATTTTTGTTTTTTTATTATTATTATTATAACTATATTGTAAGAATGATAATTTTTTTTTTAATAATAAAAGAAAACACTAAAAAATGAATTATTGACAAGCCTGGATTTGTGGGCGAGACCGATATCGACACAGTTCAAAAGTTATACCTAATTTATGTCATAATTATGTCAGCTACAAAAACACTTAGTTTGAATTTTGTCACCCTCGGGAACACTATGAACCAGTATAGCTATTGTTGGTCCAAATCTCAGCAATACTTCACACTTATTTGAACCACATTTTCCCGTAAATGTTAAAATATTATTAAAAAGAAATTAATCCTGAATTATGTCGCCATTTTGTCAAGGGTTTTAAGATAAAGAATTTGTTTTTTGGTTTCCAAAGTGAAGAGTATGAACAAAATTCAGATGGGGTAGTCGAAATTTTACATTTCGTTTTATTTTAAGCTATGCATTACAAAAAGTAAGATTGGTATGTGATTTAAGTCGGAATTATGTCAATTCAAATAAAACATCCAAAAAATTTTTTTGACCAAAGTACACCATAGAAAATCAAATTTCAATTTTGGACTGGGGGCGACCCTAGTCAAAATCAATTTTGTCACTTTTTTCTTCGAGGGTTTATCTAAATAGATTGAAACTTTGCGTAAATATTCAAGTGCTTAAAACAAAACAAATAAAACATTCTAAATTTTTTTTGAGCAAAGAACCAAGTAGAAAATACATTTTCAATTTTGGACTAGGGGCGACCCTAGTCAAAATCAATTTTGTCACTTTTTTCTTCGAGGGTTTAGGGGCGACCCTAGTCAAAATCAATTTTGTCACTTTTTTCTTCGAGGGTTTATCTAAATGGATTAAAACTTTGCATAAATACTCTAGTACTTAAAACAAATACATATAAATAACATCGAGGGTTTATCCAAATGGATTGAACCTTTGCATAAATATTTTAGTGCTTAAAACAAATACAAATAAAACATCCTAAAAATTTTTTGAGCAAAGAACCAAGTAGGAAATACATTTTCAATTTTGGACTAGGGGCGACCCTAGTCAAAATCAATTTTGTCACTTTTTTCTTCGAGGGTTTATCCAAATGGATTAAAACTTTGCATAAATATTCTGGTGCTAAAAACAAATACAAAAAATAAACATCCTAATATTTTTTTGAGCAAAGAACCAAGTAGGAAATACATTTTCAATTTTGGACTAGGGGCGACCCTAGTCAAAATCAATTTTGTCACTTTTTTCTTCGAGGGTTTATCTACATGGATTAAAACTTTGCATAAATACTCTAGTACTTAAAACAAATACATATAAAACATTTAAATTTTTTTTGAGCGAAGAACCAAGTAGAAAATACATTTTCAATTTTGGAATAGAGGCGACCCTAGTCAAAATCAATTTTGTCACTTTTTTCTTCGAGGGTATATCCAAATGGATTGAACCTTTGCATTAATATTTTAGTGCTTAAAACAAATGCAAATAAAACATCTTAAAATTTTTTTGAGCAAAGAACCAAGTAGGAAATACATTTTCAATTTTGGACTAGGGGCGACCCTAGTCAAAATCAATTTTGTCATTTTTTTTCTTCGAGGGTTTATCTAAATGGATTGAAACTTTGCATAAATACTCCAGTACTCGAAACAAATACAAATAAAACATTCTAAATTTTTTTTGAGCAAAGAACCAAGTAGAAAATACATTTTCAATTTTGGAATAGGGGCGACCCTAGTCAAAATCAATTTTGTCACTTTTTTCTTCGAGGGTTTATCCAAATGGATTGAAACTTTGCATAAATATTCTAGTGCTTAAAACAAATACAAATAAAATATCTTAAAATTTTTTTGAGCAAAGAACCAAGTAGGAAATACATTTTCAATTTTGGACTAGGGGCGACCCTACTCAAAATCAATTTTGTCACTTTTTTCTTCGAGGGTTTATCTAAATGGATTAAAACTTTGCATAAATATTCAAGTGCTTAAAAAAAATCAAATAAAACATCTTAAAATTTTTTTGAGCAAAGAAACAAGTAGGAAATACATTTTCTTCGATGGTTTATACAAATGGATTGAAACTTTGCATAAATATTCTAGTGCTTAAAACAAATACAAATAAAACATTCTAAATTTTTTTTTGAGCAAAGAACCAAGTAGGAACATTTTCAATTTTGGACTAGGGGCGACCCTAGTCAAAATCAATTATGTCACTTTTTTCTTCGAGGGTTTATCCAAATGGATTGAACCTTTGCATAAATATTTTAGTGCTTAAAACAAATACAAATAAAACATCCTAAAAATTTTTTGAGCAAAGAACCAAGTAGGAAATACATTTTCAATTTTGGACTAGGGGCGACCCTAGTCAAAATCAATTTTGTCACTTTTTTCTTCGAGGGTTTATCTAAATGGATTAAAACTTTGCATAAATACTCTAGTACTTAAAACAAATACATATAAAACATTTAAATTTTTTTTGAGCAAAGAACCAAGTAGAAAATACATTTTCAATTTTGGACTAGGGGCGACCCTAGTCAAAATCAATTATGTCACTTTTTTCTTCGAGGGTTTATCCAAATGAATTAAACCTTTGCATAAATATTCTAGTGCTAAAAACAAATACAAATAAAACATCCTAAAATTTTTTGAGCAAAGAACCAAAAAGAAAATACATTTTCAATTTTGGACTAGGGGCGACCCTAGTCAAAATCAATTTTGTCACTTTTTTCTTCGAGGGTTTATCTAAATGGATTAAAACTTTGCATAAATACTCTAGTACTTAAAACAAATACATATAAAACATTTAAATTTTTTTTGAGCAAAGAACCAAGTAGAAAATACATTTTCAATTTTGGACTAGGGGCGACCCTAGTCAAAATCCATTTTGTCACTTTTTTCTTCGAGGGTTTATCCAAATGGATTGAACCTTTGCATAAATATTTTAGTGCTTAAAACAAATACAAATAAAACATCCTAAAGATTTTTTGAGCAAAGAACCAAGTAGGAAATACATTTTCAATTTTGGACTAGGGGCGACCCTAGTCAAAATCAATTTTGTCACTTTTTTCTTCGAGGGTTTATCCAAATGGATTAAAACTTTGCATAAATATTCTGGTGCTAAAAACAAATACAAAAAATAAACATCCTAATATTTTTTTGAGCAAAGAACCAAGTAGGAAATACATTTTCAATTTTGGACTAGGGGCGACCCTAGTCAAAATCAATTTTGTCACTTTTTTCTTCGAGGGTTTATCTACATGAATTAAAACTTTGCATAAATACTCTAGTACTTAAAACAAATACATATAAAACATTTAAATTTTTTTTGAGCGAAGAACCAAGTAGAAAATACATTTTCAATTTTGGAATAGAGGCGACCCTAGTCAAAATCAATTTTGTCACTTTTTTCTTCGAGGGTTTATCCAAATGGATTGAACCTTTGCATTAATATTTTAGTGCTTAAAACAAATGCAAATGAAACATCTTAAAATTTTTTTGAGCAAAGAACCAAGTAGGAAATACATTTTCAATTTTGGACTAGGGGCGACCCTAGTCAAAATCAATTATGTCACTTTTTTCTTCGAGGGTTTATCCAAATGAATTAAACCTTTGCATAAATATTCTAGTGCTAAAAACAAATACAAATAAAACATCCTAAAATTTTTTGAGCAAAGAACCAAAAAGAAAATACATTTTCAATTTTGGACTAGGGGCGACCCTAGTCAAAATCAATTTTGTCACTTTTTTCTTCGAGGGTTTATCTAAATGGATTAAAACTTTGCATAAATACTCTAGTACTTAAAACAAATACATATAAAACATTTAAATTTTTTTTGAGCAAAGAACCAAGTAGAAAATACATTTTCAATTTTGGACTAGGGGCGACCCTAGTCAAAATCCATTTTGTCACTTTTTTCTTCGAGGGTTTATCCAAATGGATTGAACCTTTGCATAAATATTTTAGTGCTTAAAACAAATACAAATAAAACATCCTAAAGATTTTTTGAGCAAAGAACCAAGTAGGAAATACATTTTCAATTTTGGACTAGGGGCGACCCTAGTCAAAATCAATTTTGTCACTTTTTTCTTCGAGGGTTTATCCAAATGGATTAAAACTTTGCATAAATATTCTGGTGCTAAAAACAAATACAAAAAATAAACATCCTAATATTTTTTTGAGCAAAGAACCAAGTAGGAAATACATTTTCAATTTTGGACTAGGGGCGACCCTAGTCAAAATCAATTTTGTCACTTTTTTCTTCGAGGGTTTATCTACATGAATTAAAACTTTGCATAAATACTCTAGTACTTAAAACAAATACATATAAAACATTTAAATTTTTTTTGAGCGAAGAACCAAGTAGAAAATACATTTTCAATTTTGGAATAGAGGCGACCCTAGTCAAAATCAATTTTGTCACTTTTTTCTTCGAGGGTTTATCCAAATGGATTGAACCTTTGCATTAATATTTTAGTGCTTAAAACAAATGCAAATGAAACATCTTAAAATTTTTTTGAGCAAAGAACCAAGTAGGAAATACATTTTCAATTTTGGACTAGGGGCGACCCTAGTCAAAATCAATTTTGTCACTTTTTTCTTCGAGGGTTTATCCAAATGGATTAAAACTTTGCATAAATATTCTGGTGCTAAAAACAAATACAAAAAATAAACATCCTACAATTTTTTTGAGCAAAGAACCAAGTAGGAAATACATTTTCAATTTTGGACTAGGGGCGACCCTAGTCAAAATCAATTTTGTCACTTTTTTCTTCGAGGGTTTATCCAAATGGATTGAAACTTTGCATAAATATTCTAGTGCTTAAAACAAATACAAATAAAATATCTTAAAATTTTTTTGAGCAAAGAACCAAGTAGGAAATACATTTTCAATTTTGGACTAGGGGCGACCCTAGTCAAAATCAATTTTGTCACTTTTTTTCTTCGAGGGTTTATCTAA